ACAGGATCCTCTCACTGCTCCGCCCATCTCTCCCCTGAGGAAGCCTCCTTCCCACCCATCTCACACAATTCCTTAAACGTTTGAATGGATCTGTGTGCATGAGTGATCTAGCCTCAAAATTATCTAGGCATAAGAATAATAGTGTGGGAAGACTTGCTCTGCCACATATTAAAGCTTATTAACTATAAACTATAGGAATTAAGATCGTGTGGTACTGGTGAAAGGAGAGACAAACACACCAATGGAACAGACTAGAGATCCCGGATACAGCCACACGCGTATTTGAACAACTGATTTATGACAACAACAACATCAGCAGTGAATGAGAGTTCACATTATTCCATACTGTTTAAAAAAATTTTTTTATTTTATTGTTTTAGTTGAAAGTTTACAGAGAATGTTAGTTTCTCATTCAATAAATTGTACACAAATTGTTCCCCACACTGTCAGCACTCTCCCCATTTCCTCCCTGGGTTCCCCGTTTCCTTTCGTTTGGTTTTCCAACCCTTTCCTGCCTTCTCATCTTTGCTTTTGGGCAAATGTTGCCCTTTTGGTTTCCTATAATTGTTTGTTCTACGGAGCACGTTCTTTTTGGGTGTTCTGACTCATAGCGACCCTATGAACAACAGAATGAAGCGCCGCCCGGTCCTGTGCCATCCTCACAATTGTTGTTATACTTGAGCCCATTGTTGCAGCACTGTGTCAATCCATCTCGTTGAGGGTCTTCCTCTTTTTCGCTGATCTACTTTACCGAGCGTGATGTCCTTCTCCAGGGACTGGTCCCTTCTGATAACATGTTCAAGTATGTCAGATGAAGTCTCCCCATCCTGGCTTCTAAGGACATTCTGGCTGTACTTCTTCACTGCCGATAGGAGTATAAATAGATACAGTCACTTTGGAAAGCAGTTTGACATTAACTACTAAAGTTGAAGACAATCCTATCTTATGATCTAGCAATTTCACTCTTGTACATATACCCACAGAAATGTGTACATATGTGTACCTAAAGACATATATAAGAATGTTTTTGGTAACATAATAGTAAAAAATGGAAAGGAATTCAAATTTCCATCAACAGTAGAATGGGTATATAATTTGTGGTACACCAATACAATGGGATATCATACAGCAAGAAAAATGCATGAGCAGCTACATGCAACAAGATGGATGAATTTTAAAAAAAAGTACTGATACCGATCCAAATACCAGCAACATTCTTCAAAGAGATGGAAAAACTAATCATTAACTTTATATGGAAAGGGAAGAAGCCCCGAATAAGTAAAGCACTACT